CTCAGATGATCATGACGTTTCTCAGAAACCCTAAACCTAGACGACCCCAAACCCTGAACCCTGTTAGGGCGGTACGCGTTAACCTTGCTGGTTCTTAGTAGGGAATAAGGGAACATAATCCCTATAGAATCCCTATAGACTATGGTTGCTTCCCAAAACCCCCATAATAGACCACCAAATATTAGAATCCTTATCATGGGGCCCCCTAAAAAGGTACCCCTAATTTTGGGAAACCCCCTATATTCCCTTATTCGCTACTAAGAGCCAGTAAGTTCAAGGAGATCCTGGAGCAGGCGCTGGTAGAGAACTTCGGAAGAAGAGGCTTCACGCCCGCTGCCCCTCCTCCCGTCGGGACTCTGATTTTCGGATCCCAAATAAAAGTAGGTAGAGTAATTGCTTGTTGGCCTATTTTTGAGGATTTTGAGCTATTATTTTGCCTACTTTTGGGGTCCAGGTAGTCTCCAAAAAAGTATTCTGTCTTGGTTGCTTGTCATGGAAGGGGGTGGAAGCCAAGCCTCAGAGAACGGAATTTGCATCCCGCAGAGATTTTGAATCATTCCTTACGGTACGCCCCACCCAGAGTCGTGACATGGCTAGTACATTGTGCAAGTGAGACGCAGCTACCATTCTCCCACATGCGCACCAAGGATCTTGCCAGAGGGTATCAGCTTGCCGGCGACCATGCATTCAAAAAACAAGGCAGGGACACTACCTAAACCCCTAAACCTCTCAACCCCTAAACCCTAAACGCGATACCCGACTCAGGATCAGGGCTTATGGCTGGACATTCCCAGAATTTAGATTGTATGTATGGGAATTCCGTACGTGTTTAGGGTTTAGGGGTTTTAGGTTTTAGGGTTTAGCGTTTAGGGCCTTGGGCTTACAGATTATGATGCTAATGTTCTGGCAGGTGTGGAGACCTGTTTTGGAGAAGTATCAATCAGATATTGAGGAAAGAATCGATCTGGTTTAGATCAGAAGAAAGATTATAATATAGAAAAATCAATATCTAATTAAACGAAGTAATCGTATATTTTAGCCGATGATTTTTTGATCAGTTCATTCTGTGAGATATACATATATACATAGACATATACCTCAATAAAAAACGGCGCGGCCACTTGCGGCCATGTTATTCGCGAGGGGTCCAGACTTTCCGGCTCTCCATTAAAATGTCTACTTGGGCTCCCTAGGGGCTTTAAAGTTCCCGAGATTTTAAGGCCCGTCGGAAATGCCAGACCGGACTAAAAATCTCCGAGATTTTTGGTCGCGCAGGCCCCTCCCCCTCCCACCTCTCGCCGTCTCGTTCATCTCTCTCTGGCTGTTTGTGCGGCGCCACTGCCACAGACCTGCGTAGTTCTCTGAGTCCAACCCCCAGTGTGTTGGTCTATCGGCGAATCGGAATGACGGTCAATTAGGGTTCCGGTCTGTCAAGCTCTCCGTGTGTCAGTGTGTTGTTCTGTCAGCCAGTCTGTTGGTCTATGAGTCTGTCAGTTTGTCGGTCTGACCGTTTATCTTCGGTCGAATCTGTCTGTCTCTCGTTCTGTCGATCTGATGTTCTGACGACAGAGAATTTGCAGGTCTTTCAGAATCCATTAGGTTGGCTGTTTTTTTGGTCACGTGTGGTCTCATATATTCATTGTTCGTCGAGATGTACGTGCGAGCTTATATATTCCCCGTGATTTATCGCGGCTGTTCGGAGGAGCGGCAAGACACGGGACGGAAATTCAATTTTTTTCAGAATTTATGGGCCGGTAATGTCTGTTATATATATATATATTCACGGAGATTTATGCGTTCGTCCGAATCGCCGCGTAGACAGTCCAAGAGAGGTAAGCGAGGCGGAAAGACTGGGCTGGATGCGAGGACCGCGCGATCAAAGATCAAAGAGCCGCGCGATGAAAAAATCTCGTAGCCAAAAATCTCTCAAGATTTCTAGCTATTTCTCTCTCTCTCTCTCTTTGGCTATCTGCGCGGTGGGAAATGCGAAGACCCGAGGCGGAGATCTAATATCTTTCAGAAACTATATGACACGTGCGGTCTTAAAAGCTTGATGGTTCATCGGGCAGCGTGGGCATGGATTTTCTCAAATAAATATTTTCAGTTGTTATCGGCGCGACCAAATATCTCGGAGATTTTTGGTCGTGCGGCCCTTGCCGCCTCCGGAGTGGTTTTTCGCGTGATTTATTTGTCTTTGGTTGTGCGCGGCTGCTCGGCGGAGAGGCGAAATTCGACACGGAGAACTAAAAAAAATCCGAATTTATAGGCTGGCCGCATCTGTCCACTCTCCCGAGCCGCTATTTCTCTTGATTTGATTATTTGCGCGATTTTGGCGGCACGTAAAGACTTGGGGCGGAGATTTAAAATCTTTTAGAATCTATAGTATATCTTATGCGAGCTTATATATTGATTATTCATCATTTTTCATATATAAATATATTTGATTCGCATGATATATTTCTTTGGCTATCTACGTAGCTATTCGGCGGAGCGTATAGACCGAATCGGAAGAGAAATCTTTTTTAGAATTTTCAGCTTGGCCGTATTTGTATATAGGAACGCATGTGTTCTCTGAGTTATCGCGTTGATAATCTAAAAGAGAAAGCAATGAGGCGGAAATACCGGCCCGGATACGGGGATTTAATTTTTTTGTTGGATATACGATTACTCGGAAGAGCGCACAATCGCGGGATAGGGAATTAATATTTTTTTAGAATAGAAATTGATTATATCTATCTACGAAGATTTATATGCTCTCGTAAATCGTGGTCTAAATACTCTAAGAGAATTGAATGAGACGGAAAGATCGGGTTGGGTGTAGCTGTTGTGCGAGTGAGTAAAAGTCTTTTCGAGATTTCGAATTATTTCTCTTTCTCTGGCTATCTGCGTGGTTTCGGTGGAATCTATAGCTTGGCCGTTTAATCACGTGCAACTTTATATATGTTTTATGCATAGGGCTTCACGTGCAATTTTATACGTATTTTTTCCTTGAATTTCTCGTTATGAATATTCGTAATCTAATATTGTCCGCTATTATAGGCAACGGCTCAATTCTAGAATATATATAATTGAATATTCATTCCGAGAACGCGTTAGTTTATATTTATATATTTTAGAATGATAATATATTGATAAATATTGGAAAATTATTAGAGACGAAATTCTATTAAAATGAGGTCGAAGGATAGGATTGCTTCTTATATATTTTCTATTCATTAATATTGATCCTAATTCAACGATTTATCTCTATTTAAATCGATATCCGATTGAAATAATCAAATAGAAAATTCATATTATAGATAAAATATTGAAAAATGATATGGCAATTCCAGAAAAAATGAATAATTCAATATATTAGAAGAAAATTATCTAGTTAAATAATTAAAAAAATATTCATTATATTCTTCAAAATTATATTCAGAATTCTTCTTAAAGGGATCATTATAAGGATTATATTTATAAAGGATGAAATAAATTAACGGCATGATATATCAATTATACGAAGTCGTAGTTTCGCTATCTGAGCAATCTCTGATTTTCCAAGATACGTTCCTTCTGCTGACCCATAATGAATCTAGAAAGAATACGAGCCTCCAACAAAGCACGCTAAGGTCATCGTCCGCGGATGCTG